GTGTGTGTGTGTGTGTGTGTGTGTGTGTGTGTGTGTGTGGTGTGCGGTGTGTGTGTGTATGTATATATATATGTGTGTTAACCTGTTGCCATATATTAGGAAAGTAATGTTTTTAAAGTAAGTGTTCTAATAGATCTTCGGTTTCCTCATACGATTTCGACTGTAGCCATTTTGATATAACTTTTTTGCAGTCTCTATAACTTTGGCGTACATTTCTAATTCCTTATTAATTAAATTGTACAAATGGGCCGATCGTTTGCTGAATTGTCTGTTTGCAAATGTTGTATTTACTTTAGGTACTTGTACCACAATGTCTTTCCTTCTCCTCTTCGAAATATTTAGATCATATTTTAGAGACCTATGTTGTCTGAGTACAGTTTGAGTGATACCCCATACAGGAATGCAATAAATCAATACAGATTGAAGCAAACTCACGTATATTTCCTTAAATATATCCCTAGACGACGAGACTCGCGGACCAGCGACTGGTCCTGGCACTACATATCTTAGTGTTTTAAAAATCCAATTAAGTTTTCTTACTCTTTTAATGACATGTTCGAGGTGTGGATACCACAAGAGTCGCTGGTCCACAAGAACACCCAAATATTTTGATTGTGCAACTTTAATGATAGAATGAGATATGTGCAGTTACTGGTGTTACCTGTAATTTTGCAATTATGAATCTTTAAGTTAAAATTATTTTTGGGCTGAGTGTCATTATTTATACTAAAACAGATGTAGTTTGTTTTATTACTATTTAACGTAAGAGAATTGTTACTTAACCATCTGTTTACACGGTCCAATCCCCGTTCCGCACTAGACTTCAGAGCATCCCAAGAATTATCAGTGAATACAATGGCTGTATCATCAGCATAAGAGAAAATATTACCGTTCTTGATCTGTATATCACATAGGTCATTTATTTATATAAGAAAAAGCGTAAGACCAAGAACGCTACCTTGGGTTACGCCATACAAAACCTCTTCGCACCTACTGATGTGGTTATCTAATTTCACTGTTTGCTTCCTATTTGTCAAGTAATCAGTGAATATACAAAGTGGAGTACCTCTTATACCTATCTTTTCTAATTTGTGTACCAGTACGGAGAGAGAGAGACGGTGTCAAACGCTTTTTTTAAGTCCATAAATACTGACAAACATTTCTTACGTTTGTCAAGCTTTTCTGTATTGCTGCATTGTCTGCATCCTCCGCAGATCTTCCACGTTGAAAACCAAATTGGTTTACAGACAATATATTGATTTTATTTAAATAGTCTAGTAATCTTTTATTGAGTAATTTTTCCAGTATTTTAGATATCACTGATAATACAGATATAGGTCTGTAATTATTGACATCATCATCTCTATCTCCACCCTTATACATAGAAGTTATAGTTGACAAGTGACAACTTAAGAAGTGTCGGATAAATTTCTTTGTCAAAACAGAGGTTTGCAGCATAGTAATAATGGGAACAACTACGGAATTTGCAGATTTTAAAAATGTTGTGGGGATATTGTCCCAGGCTGGCGCACTACTCGATTTTAGGTTCCTAATTATACAGTTTACTTTATCTTCGTCAGTATGTAGGAGAACGAAAGAGTTGATTTTTGTTGGTAAGTTTTTGAGATAAGTTTTCAGTTCATCATTCGGTGTTTGTATTTGCTGAGCAAGCTGCTTGCCAATATTAACAAAAAACTTATTTACATAATCCGCAGA